TTTATATTATATGTTATTTATAATATAAAATAATAATTTAAATAATTCTATAATAACAAAATTCTATTAGTTCAACAACTGAAATTCACATTTTAATATATTACATATTATTATTATGAAAATTTTCTTTGCAGCAATCTTTTAGAGAATCTAATAATAAGAATCAAATATAAAAAAGGGAAGTATGTTCTAATAAACAAGTTCTATATGTTAAAAATTTATTAAGCAATCTATTAGTTGGAAGTATTTTTCAGCTAATTTTCTTGATTCTCTTGATTTAACAATATACAAAAATACATGCAAAACTAATTTATCATATTTATATCAGGATTCACTGCCATAACTCCCTGCCAAGTAAAAAAGCTATACACAGTTATACATAAGTTAAAAAAGAGTATTACAATATTGCATATATACACATGTCCAAAACTTAAGGATGAAAACAATTGTTATTGATCATAGCTAGAAAAGTCTTGATGATGAGCCTTCCACAATGCTGAGTGTTGCATTGCAATTTGAGGTGAACATATTCCATGCTCACAGCTGTATTACAAACATATTCCATGCTCACATGAAATGTATTGGTAAGCATTTTCCATCCTTTCTCCACCTACATCAAAATTGTTGTATGTATATTTTTCATCAAAGACTTACTTTTATTTGATTTCTAAAATCCTAAAAGTTGTTGTGCATTACCCTGTGTTAGACATAAAGTAATACAGTTCTTGCAATATATAAACATCAATTCAATGTCTCAATTAAATATTTTTCATATGATTTTATATGAAGTATGATCCTCACTTTATGTAGATTCACTTAAAATGGTTAGTTTTTGGTCCTAGTTAACCATGTTAAACGAGGACCCATATTGAATGAAATAGTAAATGTGAAATTGTCTACAAATAAAGTAATATGTTCAAATCCCCCCTTTTTTTTGTAAGACACTTAGGTTAAGGCAAGTTTGTGGAACACTTGTGTTCTGCAAACTTGCCCTAAGTGTTTGAGAACAAATGTTGATAGCTAAATACTGTTTAGCTATCAACAAAAATTATCAATTTAAATAGTAAGTGTACTTATTTTGTATTTAAATTACAATGAGAAGTATGTAACTGAAAACAAATAAAATACATTGAAATATTTTTGAAGCACCACTAATCAATGTCACACTTGTTATTTTTCAATTTATCCTTGATAACAGAAGGAATAATAATTTTATAAATTATAATTCTCAAAATATTAAGTCATTAATAAGATACGGTTTTTTTAAAATAATAATTCTGTATAATAATTAAATATTTCAACAAATAATAAAGTAATTACTTGTTCTTGATTTATATTATATAAAATATTGAAAATTTTTCATTAGTAATTATGGAGAGAGAAAACAGATTATTAAGTTAATTTTATTATTATATATATTATGGATTAAATCATTGACTTATAGAATGTTCTCAAAATTAAAACATTAAATAAATAAAATGTTATTTATCTGATATTATTAAATAAATAATTTTAAATTTTATTAATTAATGTAAATTAATAATAATAGTTTTTTAATAAACAAATACAGTTTTATTTCTATAAAATAAATAGATTTTACATTCTTACATTTATTTGCTACAAGTGCCAGATGAGGTTTATTAGATGAATTAAATACTTGTCTAGTAACCCCCANTCGCTATTAACCAACTTTGTGTTGACTTTTTATCGATGTTAAGCCTAACAAATTTTTTTAAAAATAATAATCGTTGCTATTGTATCGTTAAAAATCATTTTTAAATTATTTTATTGCTCACAAAACAAACAACCATTCATAATTAGAAAATTAAGTCTTGTTTAAATACTGGCCTCCCTTCAATGGTCGAGCCATGTTGCCAGCTAAAACACGTAAAAATACTATTAAAGTAGCCAAGACATAGCCAAATATTGTAGTGCCACATCACTAGCAGACATTTGAAATTTGCTGACTAGAATGGTTGGTTAACCGATGTGACGGTTAATCGGGAGTCGGATAATTGATGCTCTACTGTATGACCAAATGAAAATGAAAAATACCTATACTTAATGAATAATATTTTTCTTATAAGTATAAATATAAGTAACACACGTATACAGTAATACCCCAAACTTACATGATGGGTGGGACTGAGCGATAACCATGTAATTCGAATTCGCATAAGTCAAGATATAATTTCACATATAAATATATACAAATTATTTTTAATTGGGGCCAGAGACTAAAGAAAACAATAATCAAGAAAAAAATGTTTAATAAAATCTTAGATAATACATATGTATAACAAATTATATTATTAAAATCGTTAACTTAAGTTATTTTGATGTAGAAGGCTTCATAAAATCTAACAAATTCGTCTGATGGATCAAAGATTTTTCTCCTACAAAATTTCCTCGTAGAATGCTAATAATTTTTTTATTTCTTATTTTGTAGAAAAAATGCGCCCTTCGTTGGAGTCTATATTTTCTAAAATTTGTAACCCTTTTCAATTGAACTGAGGCCTTCTGTCAAGTTTCCAACTGTCATTCAATCTTCAGATTGAACTGAGTCTAAAGAATCAAGTTCTTCAATGTCTTGCTCTTCTATGCAAAACATTGAAGAATCAAGTTCTATCGCATTTCTATGAGCTCATCAATTGTCAGCTCCTGATTGTGGGAATCCAGCAGTTCTTGAACGTCATCACTATCCACTTCTAAATTTATTTGCCTGGCAAGATCAACAACTTCTTCAATCACATCACCAATTTCATCAGGCTCCTGGCACTGTTTCCTCCTGAGTTTCAGTGGTAAAAAAAAAGACACAGTTTTTTCCAGATGCCATTTAAAGTTTTTTGTGAAACTTCATTCCAAGATTATCCAATGATTCTCACTGCATCTAAAACATTGAATTGTTTCCAAAAGTCTTTAGCAGAGAGCTCGTTGTTTTGTCTCATAGCTTCATGCAGATGTGCAATTGATCATCTCGTGTAACAAGCTTTGAATGTTTTGATGACTCCCTGATCCATCAGTTGAAGCAAGCTGATTGTATTTGGTAGCAAAAATACAACTTTCACATGTGGGTCAAAATTAGTTAAAGTTGCAGGGGGATGACCTGGTGCGTTGTCGATTATTAGCATCACTTTAAATGGAATTTGTTTAGATTAGCAATAACGTTCAACTTCAGGTATGAAGTGTTGACCAAACCAGTCCTCAAAAAGGGAAGCTGTCACTCAAGCTTTACGATTTGACTTCCAAATCACAGGCAAGCCACTTTTAGATTTATTTTTCAATGCTCTTGGATTTTCCGAGTGATAAACTAAGAGGTTTTAGTTATAACTTAGTCACCAGCCGTGTTTGCGCCAACCATCACTTTGATCTTTGGCGGCCTTAAAACCTGGAAAGGTTCTCTCTTCACGCTCAATAAAAGTTCTTTTAGGCATCTTCTTCCAGAACAGGCCAGTCTCATCTACAGTGAATATGGTTTGGCTGGTATAGCTACCTTCATCTATCATAGCTTTGAATTTCTCTAGATAGTAAGACGCAGCCTCTTTATCAGCACTTGCCACCTCTCCACTTTCTGCAATGCTATGCCAATTACAGCAACTTTTGAATTGGCTGAACCAACTGTTACTACCTCTCCAGCATCCTCTTTCAATCTCTCAAAAATCAGCTTAGCTTCAGAGCACACCGTGTTCTGATCAACAGGACAATTTTTCACATTTACTTGATTATCATGCCATAATTTTAATGTTGTTTTCATCTCAGCAATAATACTGTGATGTTTACGAATTATACTCAAATTTAAAGATTGAGCATTTTTCATAGCTTCAAGAATTTTTTCTTTACCTTTTATAATTGTTCTGACCGTCAATTCCGGTAGATCAAACTTCTTTGCCAATTCACAAATTTTCATTTTTGTATCAAAGTCTTTAACTCAAGGTTAGGCACGTGTTAACTTTACATTCCAAAAATAGATTATCTTTTCTTCTTTGATGCAGAAAAATCAGTTCTACTTCGCTTGGATGACATAGTACTCAAGTCTCCATAGATATAACAAACACAGAAATAAACACAAAATAAATTGTAGCTATGCATTGATTCCGTGTGACACATCCGAACATGTAAGCTGAACAATAGTGTGGAGGGAGTGAGTAATCAAGATTTGCGTGGCGCTCAAACAAAAGATGAATCGACGAGATTTGAAAATCACATAACTCCAGGTTTGCGTAAGTTGAGGTATTACATATATACAGTGGGTGATCGGTTAACGAACATAATCCGTTCCAAGACTTTGTTCGCTATCCGAATTGTTCGTTAACCGATTATCGATTTACCGTAGATTTTAATGGTAATTTAATTAATTCGTTCTGGAGACCCCCAAAAATAAGAAATATATACTTTCTTACTATGTTTATTTATATGTAATAATAAAAATACATATATACACAGTCTCACATTTTTATTAGTCATATTATTTCCGTTTGAAAGGGTTAAAGAATCTGTCTAATGTCGATCGCTTTTCTCTCTTCTTCACGATTTTTCGTAAGTAATTAATAGCATTGTAATTGTAGAGACCCCGAAGCCTCAACCTGGTTTGGATGCCATTCTAAGACCGTCGTTCTGACATCCTCCCACTTCTACAAAGAATCTCTAATAACAGATATCGGCATTAATCCTCTTTTTCGGAAGAAAACGTATCTCGTCGAGTTTCTTGGTGTTCTTCATTCGAGAGTTCTTGGCATTCTTCCGTCGTCAGATCCGTTTTAGGTTACATTACGAACTCTTCGATGACCTGTTTACCTGTTACGCCATATTGCCCAGCAACATT